ACTCGACAGCTACAAGCAACTCAGGGGGAATGACTTTATGACACATGTCCATCCATTGCTCAGAGGCTCATCTGCTTTCCCTGGCTTTTTGAAACCAGAGAGCCTAAATGAGGAATGCTAAATGAGAGCTGCCTGAAGATATGTGTTTCCCACACACATCCCCGCCACTTCCCCAAATCCTGTGTAGCACCACAAATGCCACAGCTCATGTTCTACAGCATCTTTCTGTGCAGAGAAGTGCTTTTAAGATGAGGAGTCACAAAAAGAAAGTTCACAAGAGGAAAAGTCTCCACCAATATTACTTTCCGCCTTTGCTAATGGAAGGCACACCCACTTCCTTTGACTCTAATCAGAGGAGGGCTGGCTGTCAGGTGGTAGAGATACACAGTTGAGAAACAAGAGGTCTTTATAGTTAGGTGCCTAGCCCTACCTTGTATACCATCTGCTTCTAATGGAAACTTAAGACTTGCCAAAAGGAGAGGCTGAGTCTGTGTTTTCAATATTTAATGCTCACTGGAAATGACAGTTCAGCATTACCTGCTGTCCCAGTGAGATCAAGCTAAACCCCACCCACAGTACTGTGTATTCACATGCAATTGCAGAAATAAACAGTAAGTATGGAAAACTTAGAGGCAAACTCTTGAACTAGAGTGTGCCCCTAATTTAGGGGCATTGTTTTGCTTTCCCTAAAGACTATCACTCACTTGAATTCTTTTGGTATTAACTCTTATAGGTTAAGAAAAAATTTTGTGAAGTAGTAGCCATCAAAATAAGTGAATAATAGGATGAGATTGCTTAGAAACTCCCTACTGTGCAGGGGCAGGTCCCCATTCAATTTTGTGCCACACTCTACTACAAATTACTCCAGGGAGAGCCAGTCTACTGTGTCAGCATTCTCAGCTGACTTTTCTGCTTTCTTTCCCCCATGAGGGAACAGGAGTAGAGGCATTACCACCATCCATTTCATAAATGCACTAAGGTAAGATGTGAAGACCCTAAATTTAAGAGCATCAGTTCTCTCTGAAACAGATGAAGACAGGTGGGTACCTAAGTTTGGATGCCTAAATTTAGATGGTATGAGTATTGCTTTCCCCTTGTCTCTTCCTTTTTTCTTCTCTCTGATGTGCTAGTCCTTTTTTCTCAGCAGTTAAAAGAGACATGTCCAGGTGAGCTGCTCATCCCCTCCTGCACTTTGTAGAGTCCAGGTTCTCTCAAACTAGGGGGAGAAGGGTAGGGCATGGAACATCAAGATTCACCAAACCGTCATTTTCCCCCTAAAACCACAACAGATGTCTCACTTTTAAGCTACTCACTGAGACTGAAGAGGGAAAATACAGGTGACTCTTGTATGTGTTGTGTGGACATGGCCTGTGAGGCCCCAGACACATCTCATGCATGTACCAGCACCTTGTTGCTCCCTGCATCTCCCTTTGAAAGACTGGGTGGATCGAAATTTCCAGCCCTGGGTTTGGACAGCAGCACAACCCTGTCAGTTATGCTGAGGAACAAGGAACTTTTTTGTTTTGATAGTTTTCAATTAAATCAGGCTCTCTTCTGCTTGTTTTAATGTAGGATTTTGCATTACCATATCTAGCTTGATTTGCAAACTTTACACAGATTCAAGGTAATCTCTTCAAAAACCTGAATGTGTATGGGTTACATTATGACTTTTCTACTTTTCTGAAATGGTGAACATCAAATGAACCACTCTGACTCCTCTTTTTCTCTCCAAAATCCAAGAAAAGTCACTAAGTATGGTCAATGGGCAAAAATAATCACATAGCAGCAGTGAAGGTCTCTGTGCTAGGAGATTCAGTATTACAGAGTGCACTGCTTCCACTGAGAGCATTTACCAGACAGTGAACTGAACTTTGGTGTGAGAATAGACACAAAAGCCTTTCCATCAGCCTCTTTGGCCAGCATAAAGACTGCTTCGAATAATGTTGAGAAAATGTGACTCTGTGTATATGCTTGTTCTCTTCCTAGATTATTTCATTACAGCTATGGAAAACTTGGTAAGAAATCCATTCTCTGACATGCAGGTATGTGTCACTCATTCCTGCTATTAAAAGAAACACATCCTATTCCAATTGCTGGCCATGGACCAGACAGCGCTGGATGCTTTCCGTGGTTATGGCAGTGGACTTCTGAGACTTTATGATCCTTATCATCTAAGGTGCTAATGGCTTTGCCGAGTTATGCCCCTTTGACAGAGCTGTTCAGAAATAGAGGCTTCTGTCCCACTTCCCCTAAACCCCAGATCCATGATGTCTCTCCACACCTGCAGCTCAGAAGTCAGTCACTACAATTTAGTGTATCTGAGATAAGGCTGAAACCACCACTGACCCAAATGTCAACTGCTCTCATCTGTTTAACTTACACAGAAGGAAAAACAGTAAGCACAGAAACAAGGCCACAAGGAAACAATCTGTCTGCCAACATAAGCAAAATGAGAAGGGGCAGAACAACACCAAAAACCAGCTGCATTATCTTCTGAATTATCTTCTGAAGGACAGATAGTTGTGACAGAAATTTGCTTTAAGATAAAAAACGGTATCTAGATTTGACCATTTCTAAGCAGTCAGGCTGTTACAAACCATGCTCATAAGAAAACTACATAAATGAACTGAATTTTTGGCATTTGAGTTGTGATTTTTATACACCAGTTAAGCCTGACAGCATTGAAAGATCTTTTTGGGATGAGTCTATAGCTTCTCTCCTATTCAAAAGTATTGGGTACATATGTACACTTTCTGCATTTATTTACATGTGTGCTATGTCTAATGGAGATGAAATCATTACAAGGAAGTGAAGAATATCCCTTCAGGGTGTTCCCAGCATACTACAGAATGTTCTTCTGGACTCATGGATGGAGAAATGTTATTTTGTTCTTGTAGGGCAAGGAAAAGAATGAGGGAACTTACTATACAGCAGTGAAAGAAGAGATGCAAAAATCCTGAAAGCTGACTTTTTTGAGCTGCTGAGGCAGACAGTAAAAGCAGTTATAGTGAACCTTGATAGAGAGGTCTTTGAGCCTGCAACCTATTCATTCTTATTACAAGATTATACATTTCCTACACAGTAGGTGCTGAAGATCAAGCCTAAAAATAACTCAAAAAAAAAAATCACACCACTAAACTGACAGGAAGTGTAAAAACTTTCCAAATGAGAGCCATCAAACCTGATGAAACACAGTCACATTCCTGGTATGATGTACACTTGCAATGCCTTCTAGGTGTACTCTGTATGGCAGAACTGTTATGAGGTAATCTGTGCCCCAAGGTAAACATGCATGGAACAGAATAATGGCTTGCTCAGAATCTACTAGCTAAAAACAGAAATTCAGTCAACTTCCAAAATCAGAAGTGAACAGATATAAATTCAAGGTTTAAGTTCTGCTCAGAGTATCATACCTATTACTCAGTCCTCTATAGAAGTTTATCTTTTGGTGAGGTCTTGACCCTTCTTTCCATATGTATCAAGTAAACTTTTCCATCATGGTACAAAACCAATGTAACATCTATCAGTAATTCTTAAAAATTTTGTATCAGACACACTCTGATTGTAATGGGTATTTTTCCCCCTACTACATACTTAAAAAAATGCATAGCTGTAACTCTGCATTCAGGGTTATCCTAATTCTAAATTGTTGCTTTTACAACTTACACTGAAAGTAACTTCCCATTACAATGTAAATTTGGAAAAGTCAAACATTGCCTAAATAAAGTCTACTGCTCAGTGAAGCTTCCATGGCAAAGCTGCACGAGCTTCTGTGTGTTGGGGGGAATCTACACATATTTACTCTGATTATCATGAAGGAACTACACAGCAGTGAACTACTTAAGTCTAGAGTTCCTTTCTGGTGTCCAATTACAGAAGCAAACCAAAGGAATAAACTTTGGTTTTTTAAATGGAGTGAATGTGTAGCAGCCCTGTTAAGGCTTGCCTCAGCCTTGCCTAGAGCTGGCATTTGCTGCAGACTAAGCACTGTCAGTTACAACTTTCTTCTCAAGTCTCTCAAAATACAGTCTCCTACGAACTGAGAACTATGCAATAAAACATGGAATCATTAAGAATATTAGTGGACTAGTTTTAAAGTGCAATTTATAATCACTTAGTGACAGAAGCTATTCCAAACATACTCAGCCTAAATAACACAACTCTCTGAAATGAAATGACTACTGAAAGCAAAAAATTTTTAGTTATTAAAATATATTTAAGAAGTCCACATTAGTAACAACTAGAGTCTGTTTAAAAAGAACTTTTACACAGGTTCAAATACCACCCCTTTTCTTAGAAGGGGTGAACAGGCTATGAATCAGACATATTTGTGTACTGTAGTCATCATTCCTAAAGGCTCCATGCACGAGGGCAACTGGAAAAATGTCAGCAGCACTGCTCTTACCATTGGAGGCTCACACGCTTTTTCCCCTCTCTTTCCCTGATGCCTGTAGACAAACTTTGACTGAAAGTTTCCAAACCAAGAAAGACCAAACCAATCCAAATTCCTTTCTACTACTTTTAAACACTTTTCAGATGATCCATATTTTAACTTGTCTTCATACCTTGAACAACTGCGGTTAGTGAGCTTCTTCACAAGACTGCAAAATTCTTACCCATAGGAAGGAAATGAAAAAGCAGAAATGCAAGTACTACAATTCATACTAAATTTCAATTTTCATTTTAAAAAGTTCAAACAACTGAAGGTGTTCTTTTGTTCTCTGTGCAACTATTTCAGGTAGTAGGAGATGCTAAGATGATCATGTTATTCAGTGGGGAACAAAGGAGTGAGATCAGTAATGATACTATAATCCATATTCATTAAATCAGTTCAGTATGATCAACATAAGGTATTTGCTCTTAAATTTTTTGGCCTACCTGGAATGGAAAATGTAATCTCAACATTATGCAAAAAATACGCAGCTCTTAATTTCATATCACAAAATGGAACATAACAATTTCATTGTAATAATTAAAAAAAAAAACTGCTGAGTCTTAGCCATTGTAGCCACACAGAATTTTTTTTTTTAATAAACTGTGGTAGTAAAAATTCCTCAAAATTGCAGTAAACCAACCATACATTATCAAAAGATAAGTGTGACAAGTAAGCAGCTGGCATTTACTGGAAATTATTTACATTTTATTGTAAGTGACAAACTGATGACACTCATTTCCATACCATACATATTTCTTTACTTTAAAATGTGCTTCACACATTTTCTGCTCCAGCTGATACAATCTGTAGTTACTGTACATACTTACAAAATGCTGAACATTAAACTTGTGGTTAACCAGCTTGGTTTTAAGACACACAAAGTAGCTTAAAGTTGACTGACCACTCAAGTTGTCAGTCCATTCTAAATATTCTTGTTAAACTTTCCAGATCTTCATTTTTGAAATGCAGTTCTTCCAGTAATGTGGTCAGGAACTGTGTGTACATTGGGCTTGACTGAGTATTCTTGAAAAGTGGAGTTGTTTGTGACAATCTGGAAAAAAGCCAAACATATTTCATACAGTAAAGCAACTTTTGAGTGGCAGATGTTAGAAAGCAAAGCTTGTGAGTTCAAACTGTATTGAAGAAAAGCAGTTTATAATGTCACATTTGATTAATTACACTATATAATAGACTGTATGTATGATATACAATATGAGATGTACCAAAATATGATTTATTAGTATGTAGTAAATAAAAAAATCTAATTGGAAAAAATGAGAGTAGTTTGTATGCCTCTAATTAATTGTACATAGAGGTTATACAATGTACACAGATGTCAGAATAAACAAAGTGCAGAATGTACAATTAGACATATAAAAGGAAGGATCCAGTCATTATTTATTTCTTTACCAAAAAGCTCATAAACAGTCACACAGTGAAAGTTATATACTTCTTCATATGACTAAAATATAAAAGTGATATAAAATTCCTCCGTTTGGAAGGAGCTACCACTATGCAGATCACCTACATACATAAAATCTATATGCAGATGAGCTGAAATACTGAGCTGTTTGTTCCCATTTACCCTTTAATTTATCTGAATATATTTTTATCCTGAAGTCCTTCCTTTTTCTTCTAATTCTATTGCAAAATATTGCAAAGGTAGTAATAGCTGAATCTGCTTCCTAAGCCCAAATATTAAAATCTTTAATGAATAAAATCAAGTATTAAAGCTTATGCTGAATGTTAAGAAACTTTAACACCAAAGATTACTGACAAGATCACTTAACAATAACTCCTATCCCAGCAACAGTTACTTTGTCTCAAATACTGTAAATAAACAGTGCCATTGACACCATACACAAAAGAGTTAGTTTAGAACACATTTGTGCAATGATGTACTTTTAATAAGAAATTCAAGACAGTCTGCAGCTTCCTAAAAACTTCCCAGCTCAGGAAGTCTTCAAGTGAGTAACAACTGAGATCAATCTCCCTGCAGTCACTTGTATTAAGAGCACCTCCACTTGAAAAAAACTGCCTATTAGAGAGGATTCTTTTAAATTAAGCAAAAAGAGTGATAAAACACAAAGAAAGGACCTTGCTAGACATAGTAAATAAGAAACCCTTAATAAAAAAATAAATTTACCAAAAAAATTAATGAAAAATATTTAACTTTTAATGAGTTAAAATTACTTCCCATTTCTTTATGGATTGCATTTCAGTATGTACATTAGTTGAACAGTTCAGCTCTCAAACTCTGACACTTGGTGAGAAGGACTTTCAGAGGTGATGAAAGTAAGGGCAAGGTGCGGAAAGAAATGACTTCTGCATAAACTCTGCTGTATATATATAAAAGAGAAGTGTTCAGAGTGGAGTTTGTGATTTTGGCCTGAGGCCACTGGGTTTGTAATGCACTCCGTGCCAGCCGGACCGAGCTGTTTGTCCTGGGGGAGGCGCTGGGGTCGCTCCCCGGGCTGGTGAATCAGAGCGACCCTGGCCAGGGCAGGCCGGCAGGAGGCTGCGCTTGCATGGGGACGCTTTATCAGCGGGGACACAGCAGCGCTGAGAGAGGATCAGAGGGACCAGTGCAGAGTGTTAGGCTGGAGATGGCGGGAGGAAGACAGGAGATGCATTTCTGCTTGTCTTCAAGTCACCCTTCTCAGAATGATGCAGGTTCTAGATGAAAAAACACTGGTGGCAGAAACAGTCATGACTTCCTGGGTGCTGGTGCGAGGTAGCTGTAGCCCTGTAAACTACTCTCCTGGCCATGATGTAGATTTACATGCATTTTTACTGGAATTTTCTTAGTCCTGCTGTGGGCTTCAGAGGATATTAACAAGGACATTAGTTTTCAAAAACAGCAGGAAGCTTGTGCAGTTTTAAGGATTACTCAAAACCCAAAAGGTTTATTAAAGGTTTATTACCATGAAGCTCACATGCTTTTTTTCTTTTTTTTGGAACTGCAGTTGGTGATAGTACATAGTTTCATGAATTACAAGCATGTCATAAATGTTGGACTCTGTTTAAGACACACTGCTTAAAGAGTAGCTATTATAGGTTACACCAAGAAAAAAAGAAAAAGGTATTGCTACTTTCAGAGAAGTTGCCAGGTATTAAATATTGAGAAATGGAAGTCAAAAAAAGTTTTAGACATGGATCAATTTTTTTTTCTTACCTAAACTTTGTTTTAAAATGAATTAAGCTACTGGTTATCTGATAAGCAAGAGACTAAATCAACAAGTCACTTCAGACAGGCACATGCAAGTTTGTAGCAATTAGTTAAAAGTTGCATCTTGACGGGGCATCGTTAAATATTTATGAATCTATGTACAAACATTTTTCTCTTGGAAAACTGTGCCCTTTTGACCTTTAAATGATGCTTTAACTTGTCATTTGAAAAGCAGTTACCATCTAGTACTTTTCTAGTTTCAGGTGGCTGCTGCAGCAGAAGCAGAAGCTTTTGTCTGGAAAGCAGAAGTTGCTGGTTTGCATGGAGTGGTAAGTTACATGCTCTAAGTAACACTGGTCCAATGAATATTTGAGGTATTGCCCAAGAGAGTATTGAGGAACTGCTTAACTGAATTAAACCTTAATTGTATGCAAACAAGCCAGAACAGCATTTGGGATAAGTATCTTCAAGTCACAGAAAATTACAATGATCTTATCTCTCAAGAAACTATGATGACTAATTCAATTTAATGACACACAGGATTTCAGTTCAAAGATTGTAGAATTCCCTTGAAAGTCTGCAGCATCTTCTACAGATGTAGAATATAAACAGGAAATAGGATACTTGGGACCACAATAATTAGAACTGGCTAGTGGACCAGTGGAAAGAAAATACAAATTTTGCTTTTCTGTTACCCTTTTCACATGTTGCAGCATTAATCTGGAACAAACTTTTATGAATGAAGTCAAATAAAAATAAGAAAAGCTAAAGGATTAATTGATTTTAAAATAACCACCTACAGAAGTACACAATGTAAATGTTACCATTTACAAATTACCAATTACACCCATTCTTCAAAGGCTTGCCTTCAGCAAGAGCTACTAAAAGGAAATGTTCATGCTCATATCATGGAAAAGTAGTATATCAGACTTGATGAGACTGTCATTTCCTGCACACCCACTTACACCATATGGTAAACAGGCATTTGTAACGTTTAAAAAGTGTTAAAAATGTTGAACTCTATCTGATTGATAAAATTTGTATTTGCTGGCTATTCCACATATGTTATATGTACAAGAAAAAAACCCCACTAAGGTGAAATTCATGTGAAGAATAATCAATTATTATCAAGCTATTAAAGGACATCTGGCTACCACAAAATGTTTACATAGTTTCAATGCTTCAGCTTAAGACCCAAGCTTTCTATGGATCAGGTGCCTTACAGAAATACTTGGCAAGTATATCTAGGAGTCAAACCTCAATTATTTTTAGGAATAAGTTTCATTAATTAATAGGGTAGCGTGTGCAACTTGTTCTTAGATCTATGCGTACCTTAACGAAGACAGCTGAATACATTCAGAAAAGAGAAAACTTTTATGTAATTTAAAGCATTAATTGGCATTTCCTATCCAGGGGTATGAATATTCTTCCTAAAAACCCAAACCAATTGTCCAGTACCATTCTTCCCCCTGCTACTGGATCTCAGGGAAAGCTTTCTGGATTTTCTGTTTAAGATGAATTTTGTGATTCCCTTTGAAAACGTTAAAAATTTTCAAAGCCACCACAGTGTTACCAGTCAGTTACAGCTCTTTGAAAGAGACACCTGAAAACAGGGGTAAAAACACAACCACATAAGAGTCAGGTTCCTTTCTGCTCCTCAAAATTGGTCACTTGAAATGATACATAAATTGTTGAGACTTTGAGTGCACATAAATTGCTCCAATATCATGGAAAGCACTTATATACTCATGAAGAAAAGCCATATGTTAATTCTCAGAAGACTATTAATAAGCTCCTCCTAGAAAAACGTAAGCATTGCCAGTCTTCCTAATTTTTTTTCCAGTGTTAGAAGCTCGAAAAGGTAAAAGCCACTGGTTGTGGCAGAAGCTATGGATCCAAACACATTTTTTTAAGTTCTTTATGTTGTTTGACCTGCTTGGAATTTTAACAGGAACAGAAGTATAAAGAGAATGATGGAACAGGCATGCACTACTCTCTTTCTAGAGTCAGCTTGGGAAAATAAGTTGTCTTTTTGCCAGTTACAGGTATATAAGCACTGTGAATAAGACTCTTAACATAACCACCACAACATAAGGGTTGGGTTTTTAAATTCTGTTTCTTTCTACCTTTTGTTTTAGTCACTTAATTTTTTAAGATCATCATAACCAGGATCAGTGATAACTAGTTTTCTGTCAGAATGATGGAGTTGAACTAATGAATAATCACAAAAGTTTCCTTAACACTTGTTTCAGAACACAGAAATGAAGCAAGAGCTGGCAGCACCACAGGCAGTATTTTCCCCCTTTCCCCAATAAAACCACAGATACAGACTACTGCATGTGTGCTGCAAGGGTGCCAGCAAATCTCTGAGCAGTACACTCTTGCTCCAGCTATAGCCACGCAGATAACCATGCCATTCTAATGGGTTCCACTGCAGCAACACAGAAGTGCTGGGTGTTTTGGTTTTGAGGTTTTTTTTTAACACTCCAAATATATTTGCACTACTCTTAAGTTGCAGATCAGATGGGTGTAGCAATGCAATAAAAATGTTACTAATCAGAAATGCCTTTCTTTTAATATAGCAGTTTTATAGAACACACTTTTAGATTCCATTTTAGTTATGTTCCTTTTAAGGAAGTCTCCAACACAATTGATTAAACAAAAGCAATTGTTTTGTTTAAGACAACAGGCTAGACTGACTCAATCCAACAAGTGTTACACATCAGCAATAAAACTCAGTGAATTGATGTGCATTGCAGCCCACAGACCATCTGCCTGTACATGCAGCTGTAGCGCTGCCATGTATCAATCACTTATAACGTGCTTCAGCTGATGGGGTAAACTCCAATGCTTGCTGCATTTATCCATTTCACGAATCCCTA